TTTTGAAGGTCATGGAAACACTCTGAGCTACATCCGAGCAAGGTCTAAAGGTTGTGCCGATCTTTTTCTTTAGAGAATAACTAAACCACTCAACTATACCCTGCACCCACTTTTCTTCCTGAAGAACTTATACTTGTGAGCCCTTAGGAAATAACAAGACTGAAGTCAGGCCTGGAACAGCCTCAGATGAGTTAAAGTAATTTGTTAGAATCTTAATTACTAAACAAATAATATTAAGCATATAAAAATGTTTTTAAAAGAATTATTTTTATTCAACTCTATTTATTTATTTATTTATTTAAATTTGACCTGAGTGGGACAGAGTGAGAGAGGGCAAGAGAAAAAACCAAGCTGCCAGGTCCAGGACTTGAACTGCGGTTGGCCATGTGGAAGTCCAGCGTCCTTAACCACCATGCCACCTGCTGGCCCCAGCATATAAACATTTTGAGGGCAAAGAAGTCTAATAATTATCCTAATAGTTCTAGATACTCAACTAGTACAACTAGAGAGAGTGAGTTTTGGACCCAGGAAGAACTGAAGTCAAATCCTAGCCCCCTTATTAGAAGCTGATTAAACCTCATTTTCTTAGGAAATGGTGATACCAGTGTCTCCTGGGAGAACTGTTGAAAAGCTTAGAGTTTATCTATGGAAAAGAGCCTGACAATGCCTGGTACTTAAGAGGCACTCAGTAACCTCAGTAGTAGCTGCTGTTATGGAATATTTTGCATAAGATACTTAAAATTGTTTTGTATAAAGTTTTACTAATGACAATAAACTATAGAATTATAATGCAACCATGTTTTTAGTATTCTTATTTTAGTACTCTTTCTACAAGTTTTTGGGCCAGCAGGTGGCATAGTGGTTAAGGGTCTGGACTCCAATGTGCACCCTATAGCAAAAACCTCTCCAAAAAAAAAGATTGTAATGCAAAAGCTTTGGAGAAATGAGAGTGAACAGAGGAGAAAATGACCTCTGCTGGGCAACAGTGGTAACCAGGAAATAACATCCGAGCTATGATCTGAAGGTCAAAGAAAACTTATTTATTTATTTATTTTGTTAATTGCCAGTGGGCATGTGCACTTGTGAGAAAAAGAGAGCGAGTGAGAGAGAGCACCTCAAATAGAGTGTGGTCACACCACAATCCTTTTTTTTCCCCCATTTATCCTGCCCATCAGGATTTGGGGCACATGCACATGTGCTCAGCATGGTTTTCAAGCTGTTGGTCCTGGGATTCAAACTGTGCTCGTATATGTGGGATCCAGCTTTTTATACGCAGCACTTAACCTCTGAGCTTTGGGACTAGCCCCCGAGGAGCACTTTTTTTTTTTTTTTTTTTTCTTAAAGAGATTTTTGCTATAGGGCACGTGTGCTCACTGGAAAGACAGAGACAGAACGACAGAAAGTGAGCAATCACCCCCCAGGGGGGATGCCCACATTACAACCCATTCTCCTCCATTCTTCTCTTGGGATTTTGGGCACACATGCATAAGCACTCAGCACAAGTTTCAAGCCACGAGTTCTGGAACTCAAACTGCAGTCAGCCACATGGATGTCCAGTGCCTTACCCACCACACCACCTGCTGGCCCCGAAGAGCAATTTTTTTATACAGGGGAAAGCAGGATCTTTCATTTATAGTGTGTCATGGTTTGATTGGCAATGTATTTTTTTTTCTTAGTAGAATGCAGAAAAATGGAATGTCTTCTAATCAATGGTGATTTTGGTAAATAGCACCTATTAATCTGATTAGGGAAGGGGTATCTACACTGGGATTGTGGAGTTCAGAGATTCCATGTAGGTGTTGCATAATGTCTGTGGGGAGAGTGATAGGAAACCACGAGGTGGCCAAGGGCCCCGGGCCCCTCACCCTAGTTTACACCAGATCAGGTCTAGTTTTGTTTTTTTGTTTTTCTGTTCAAATTCATTTGTGCAGAAAAAATACATTGAACGCCAAATATGTGCCAAGCACTGGACCAAACACTGAGGACACAGCATTAAAGAAGATAGCACTCTGCCTTGTTTTCTCTGAGATTATACTCTGAGGAAAGGAGATAGTTAGGGCAGAAGAAACAACCTAATAATTTAGGTGCAATATTTTCAGAAGCATGGTAAATGCAATGGGGATAATAAAATAGGATGAGGAAATTGAGAGTGACCTGGAGGGAACTTGCTTTAGGTAGAGGGCCGAGAAGTGTCTCTCCAAGAAGGTGACATAGGAGCCAAAACTTAAAGAATGAGAAGGAGCTCCCACTTAGGGACCTGTGGGATACACCACACACTCGGATGGGTTCTATCTCAGAGACCAGATTTCAGTTAATTATGGAGTTACGGCCCATCACCTGTGCCTTTGTTGTTGTTGGCTAGAGGGCACGTGTACTTGCCAAGAGAGACAGAGGAGAAGGAGAAAGCCCCCCGGGTGGGGCATGATCATGCTGCAATCCATTCTCCTCCATCTCTCCCTCCTTTCAGGATTTTGGGCACCTATACACATGTGCCAGATGCATTTCTCAAGCTACCGGTTATAGGAATAGAACTACACAGTTGGCTATGTGGGATCTGCCTGCCTTTACTACCAGGTCATGAAGCCAGCCTACCTGTGCCATAGTCTGTTGGCTGAAGGAAAATCACCGATTTATCCTACCATTGAGGGGAAGAGGTTATACAAGGAGAGAAGGTGTGTCTGTCACATCCCCTGTAATCACCAAAAACTTTTCTGATCTAACTGGCTGGTCACGTGCTCCCTTCCTCTCTTTGTTTTAAGGATTATTTTCTCCATGAGTGAGAGAGAGAGAAAGACAGCATCCCCCAACAGGGTCTTGACATTGTGATCCACTCCAGCTTCAGCTACCTTGGTCATGGGCACTCAAATACCTAGCATACTCAGGAAGTTCTTCATTTGTGAACTCAGAACCTTCCCATCTGGCTCAGCCTCATTGAGCATCCTATTTTACCACTGCACCACCATTGGGCCCTGTCTTTTCTCTCTTCAGTAAGTTTATGTCTCTCCCAAAGGTAATGTTTTTGATCAAATGATGTTCTCAAGTACAGGAGAACTGTTTAATACTGAAGGGTATGTTGAGAAAACTAGAGCTTCTAAAAGATGTCTCAATAAGGTAATTTTTTTTTTTTTTAGAGAGATTTCTGCTATAGGGCATGTGCTCACTGGAGAGACAGACAGAGACAGAAGGCAAGAAATCACTGCCCAGGGGGGATGGTTACACCATAATCCCTTCTCCATTCTCTCTCAGAATTTTGGGCATGCACACACACACGTCTGGCATGAGTTTCAAGCTGCGGGGTCTGGGACTTGAACCACGGTCGACTACGCGGGAGTCCAGCAACATAACCATTATGATATCTGCTGGTCCTAAGGTAAGGTTTTTTTAAAGCACTGAAGACGTGCAATCAAATCACTGTTATTAAAACTAGAACCCTAAGTGGTTCCAAAAACCCTGTTCACTTTGGGCAAATCACCTAACCCATCTGAATTTTATTTTCCTTATATGAAAATGAGTAGAATTACAACTGCCTCACAGAGGAGTTTTGAATATTAGAGATAATGAACATAAAAGGGAAAATGTGTGTGAAATTTTAGTACCAATAAATATTAGTACAAGTGGCATAAGGAAATAAAGGAAGAATTGCAAGTATGATATTAGGATAGAATAAAAAGATAAGCGGTGGTTCATCAAAAGAATGGATGTGGGACCAGCAGTTAGCTTAATGGCTATGTTGCTGGACTCCCACGTAGTCGACCGCAGTTCGAGTCCCAGACTGGGTGGCTCAAAACTCACACCGGGCGCGTGTGTGTGCGTGCCCAAGATCCCAAGAGGAGAATGGAGGAGAAGGGATTGTGGCGTGGCCATCCCCCCTGGGGGGTGATTTCTCACTTTCTGTCTCTGTCTCTCTCTGTCTGGCGAGTGCACGTGCCCTATAGCAAAAACCTCTCCAAAAAAAAAAAAAAAAAGACTGGATGTGAAGAAGTGATTAAAAATTAGTTAACAACATTCCCTCCTTTCTGAAAGTTTTTTCTGGGCTTCCAGCTGGAGGCATTTCCCAGCCTCCTTTGCAGGTCATTTTGGCTGTGTGACTGAGCTTTGGCCAATGAAGTCTTAGAAGAAGTGAACAACCTGTGGGTCACATCTTCAAAGCACATTGCTTGCCTTCCATTTCCTCTGTTTTCCTTCCTGCAGCTGGATTGTGAATGAGGTGCTAGTGACTATCTCCTACCACGTGGATAAGGAAACCTTAGGAGATGATAGCACAAGGAGATAGAAGGTACCTGGTCTTGGGACTTTTGTTATGTAAAGATACCTAGGATCACCTTCAGTCACAGATGTTTACACGAAAGAGAAAAAAACTGTCTATATTATTTAAGCCTCTTTTATTTGATCTTTGTTAAAGCAGTTGAACCCAAAACCCAACTAACCCAGTGCTTGCTATCAGAAACATAACAGAAAGACAAAAATACCCTTGACATTTCCTTAGGAAGCAGCCATTTGAACCATCTCTCTGCAAGTCCAATATGCCCAATTTTTCTTCTCAAATAGATGCTGTTCCTTTGATAAGTTCTTTGGCTTGCATTTAGGACAGATGTTAGATGAAAAATGTATACTACTAAACCTTACAATCACATCGATCAGGGTGAGGCACACACAGTTGTTGGAGGCTCATGGAAACTGAGACAAGCTGAGAGGAGAGTTTCCTACTCCATTTACACTTCAGGACACAGGGTTATTGAGTGAGCTCTTGGATGGAATGGCCATGCTATTTAAATTACTTGCTCCCTCTTTGTCTTTCTTGCACTATGCACATATGGTACTGTTTGCCTAAATTAAATGCATCTTGGATGTGTCTCCATTTTATTCAGACATCCATCATGAGCTTTCTGCATTCCTCACTGTCATCCAACTTTATCGCCCACTTCGGCTACAAGTATGTTCCTGGTGTTCTCTGGAGGTGTTAACACCTCTACCAGGACCAGAAGGAAAATCCTGTGAAATAGATTTCTGGTCCTTCCTGTGTCCAGATGCCAGATCGTAAGACGGCACCTAAAGATAGAGCTTCCGCAGGGCACCCTTCATGTCTTTGTTCCTTAGGCTGTAGATGAGTGGATTCAAGGTGGGTGTAAGGATAGAGTAGAAGAAGGCAGCCACACGCCCATGCACTGGGGAGTAATGGGTGGTTGGCTGCATGTACGCGGAGCTGCCAGTGCCATAAAACAAGAGCACAGTGACCAAGTGGGAAGAACATGTAGAGAAAGCTTTCCGGCGGCCAGTCACTGAATGGATCTGAACCACCGTCACCAAAACACGGACATAGGAGATGACAGTGAGGGCAAAGCAGCTCATGATGATGCAACTGCTGGCTGCAAAACTGGCAGCTTCATGGGCATCTACCTTGGCACAGGCGAGGTGCATGAGAGGGGGGATGTCACAGAAGAAGTGTTCAATCGTGTTGGGGCCACAGAAAGGCAGGGAAAATGTGTTGGCTGTGTGGAAGGCAGAGAAAAGGAGCCCACTGCCCCAAGCCACTGCCACCAGGGAGACACAGGTCTGGGGACTCATGGATTCCCTATACGCCAGGGGCCTGTAAATGGCCAGACAGCGATCATAAGCCATGGAGGTGATAAGGAAACACTCAGTGGACCCGAAGCAGACAAAGGCAAAGAGTTGGAATGCACATGCAGGGAGGGAAATCTCCCCGAAGCCCAGTGCAGTGGCCACCAGGGCCCGGGGCAGGGTGGTGGATGTGGAGCAGATATCCACCAGGGAGAGGTGTTTGAGGAAGAAGTACATAGGCGTGTGCAGGCGCGTATTGAGTGTCACAGCAGCCATGATGGAGATGTTCCCCAGAACTGCAACCAGATAAAGAAGAAGGAGGGCAACCACACTGAGCAGCTGTAATTCAGGAACAACTGAGAAGCCCCGGAGGATGAATACAGACACTGCCGTAAGATTGGTCATGTTCTGTCTTAGAAAATCTGAACTGCAGAGGACACTCAAGGAGAGGTGCCTGAGGAGAATAAAGCAACAACAAGGACCTGTGAGGGAAAGATTTAAAAATCAAGCATACCGAGTCTGGAAAGTTTGCTCAAATGCTTTTCTTCATGGAATGTTTGGGCATTATTAGTCTTCCACTGGGATCTCAAACTCAAATACCTGCAGAGACCCTGCAGATACATAAGTAAATCTGGTTGAGTGTCATGCAATAGGGAATGACAGAGACTGCAGAAATAGGTATTCTGTCCAAATGAGGCAACTGTTCTAGGTGCTTGCCAAATTGTTGCTGGTGGATTAAACATTGCCAGATTCTCTGAAAATTTTCAAGAGACTTCCACAGTTTTTTATGTCACACATCCTGACTTTTACTTTTTTTTTTTTTAGGTTTTTGCCATAGGGCATATGCAATTGCCAGAGAGATTCAGGGAGAGAGACAGAAAGTGAGAACTCAACCCCCAGAGGAGGTGGCCACTCCATAATTCCTTCTCCCCCATTCTTCTGTTGGGATTTTGGGCATGTACACACACTTGCCTGGTGTACATTTCAAGTCACCAGCCTGGGACTCGAACCACAGCCAGACATGTGGGAATCCAGTGCCTTAATCACTATGCCACCTGATGGCCCCAAGACTCCTGACTTTTATATACTGGTAATTAATTTAAATTTAGAACACTGTGCATATCAAAGGGGTTATCAGGGTTTTGTTTTGTTTTGTTTTTGTTTTTTGAGAGGTTTTTGCTGTAGGGCACGTGTGCTCCCTGGAAAGACAGAGAGAGACAGAAAGTGAGAAATCACCCCTCAAGGGGGATGGCCACTCTGCAATCCCTTCTCCTCCATTCTCCTCTTGGGATCTTGAGCACGCATGCACATGTGTCCGGTGTGAGTTTAAGCCACCGGGTCCGGGACTCAAACCACAGTTGACTACATGGGAGTCCAGCGACATAGCCATTATGCTAACTGCTGGTCCCAGGGGTTATCAGTTTTAATACTTTTGATTTTACCATACTTTTTTTTTTTTTGAGAGGTTTTTTTGCTACAGGGTGCATGTGTTCGCCAAACAGACAGAGAGACAGAAAGCGAGAAATCACGCCCCAGGGAGATGGCCATGCTGCAATCCCTTCTCCTCCATTCTCCTCTCGGGATCTTGGGCACGCACGCACATGCGCCCGGCTTGAGTTTTAAGCCACCGCGTCCGGGACATGAACCGCGGTCGACTATGTGGGAGTCCAGCGACATAGCCATTATGCTAACTGCTGGTCCCCAACCATACATTTTTTTCTACATGACTCTGTAGCATCTTCTTATGTATTGTTTTTAAATTTTTATTTACATTTAATTATTGTATATTTTTAACAGCATATGATGTGAGTTCTCAAAATATAAACTCATTGCATATCCAGCAAGTCAAGTTTATTTCCATATATAATAACTTTCCATTCGTGTGTTTTTTAATTTTCATTTTTTCCCCTGAGTCTCTCCCTCCTACCCCCTTAATTAAAGTATGCAACTCAAGGTCTTCTGATGATCTGTTTCCCTCACTAGAAAGCGAGCCTCCCCAGTGCAAGGGTCATTTCTTACTCATCTCTTTATTTCCTGGCACCTATTAGACCATGAGAGATAGGCCACAGAAGGGAAGTAGGAAAAGTAGGAATCTTTCTGCAACTAAATATCCTGGGTTTGGATTCTGTGTGACCCTGGACAAATACCTTACTCTTCCTCTACCTCAGTTTCCTCCTCTATAAAATGGTCACATGAGAAAATAAAGAGAACGTGCTTGAAACAAGACCTGTCACATGACGAGCTCTCATTAATGGCTCACAATTAATTAATCTTTTTGCAAATGTGTGTGCTCCCTTCTCTCTTGCCATTATTGTTTATGGTCTGCTGGGATGTAATTATGCATAAAATATTTCTAAGCTTCTTAATGCAAAGTCTTACTGCCTTTTTCTTTGTTCACACTCCACAGGCCATTCCCACTTACATTTCTATTCTCTGAAACAGAGAGGTGTATCCCCTGGCAGCTGAGAGCTGGCCTGACACTCATAGCTGAGTCTTTTACTGCTCTCCAACAGAACATAAACCACCTCACCCTGGTAGACAGAATAATGCAATCCCCAAATATGCCCATGTCTTAATCTCTGAAATCTCTGACTTTGTTACCTTCCATGTCAGATATGTTTAAGCTAAGGACCTGAAAATGGAAAATTTATCCTGAATTATCCAAATGTTATGGATTGAATTGTATCCCACAGAAAAGGTGTATTGAAGTCCTAACCCCCCAGGACTCCAGAATATGACCTTATTATTAAATAGGGTAATTGTAGATGTATTTTGTTAAGACAAGGTCTAACTAGAGCAGATGAGCTCCTAAGGTGACTGGCTCCATCTCCAAATACAGTCACACTGGGAGGTAGGGCTTTGATATGAACTTTAGGACACAGTTTAGTCCATAGCAGGCACTCGCATCTCATGGTCCACCAATTTAACTGCGCACCTTCTGCATCATCTCATCCACAGGCTTCCTGCTAGAAGGCAGTGGTCATTGGCTGTTTGTTTGTGCCTGGAACCTGCTTCAATTTTCTACACTGATATCACCCAGATGTTTCTCTAGAGACCCTCACGTCCTGTTCCTGGGAGGACCTTCGCTTCCTGTCCATATGGAGTCCCTCACTTCCTATTCCTATGGAGAGTCTCACTTCTTATACTTTCAATCATGTGGTTTGGGACAAGACTGAGTCTTTTACCCTCAGCACCAGGAGAGGGGTCACATGACCTAGTCTTGACCATTCAGAATGTTACAACCTGCAACATACAGTGTTAGTTTGGGGATAGGCATCTGAGCAGCCAGGACAATGGCACATAATTCTCAGACTTTGACTGATTCTGCTGGGAATGTGAAGCTCTCTAAGCTGGCTAAAGTTCATCTTGGAGATTCTGGAGTTCACTTTGACACAACCTGGCTCATAAAACCAACACAATGTGAGAAGAGGCAGTAATAGAAAAAGATATATTCCTGATGGCATCAGGAGAGCACCTACATCCAACATGCCATCCTTAGAATTTCATTGTTCTAAAATAAATTTAGCGTGGGTTATGTTTCTTAACCAGAAGAGTCCTGATTAACCATTCACAGATCTGTAAAATCTCCACCTTTGGGTCTACCATCCTCCCTACACTCTGCTCCTCCTAAGGAGGAGACAAAAGCAGCTGAAAGAAAACCACATCACTGGGGAGCTGGGAGCCAGCCACCAGACTCTTTAGAGGCCCAAGCCACCTGGGGAGGATATGAGCAGGAGATCTGGGCTGCTGAGTCCAGCACCAACTCCCAGGCATATGAGTGCACCATCTTGGATATTCACCTTGATGGAATCTTCAGCCCCAGCTGGCATATGCCCTCTCATAACCTCTGTTAGGGTAGATTCACTCATTTGTTCATTAATTCAAGAAGTGATTATCGGATAACCTTGATGATCCAGTTTCTTCTCTAGTACTGGATAAACACTGTGAAGGAACTAGACAGACACATCTGTTACTCGTGTTGTTTGCTATCAATGAGGGGAAGACAAATATGAATCAAAATCATCTGACTTGTAGCAGGGGGCTACAATGTGGTGCAGCAATAGAATGAAGTGCTCTGTGAGGCTGTTCCACATAGGAGGGTTCCAGGTTCATGTCTGAAGACCTCTCTGAGTGCAATATGTGCTTGCGTACCTATGATCTGAGGCTGGTTGAGTCTGGGGGTGGATCATGACATCAAGACCTTGTTGGGGTTTTGTTCACTTTCTTTCAAGTGCTCATGGAATAAATAAATATTTTTGAATCACATTTCTTAAAAAATAAAACAGAGACACCAAAAGGAGGTATAGAATGCCACAAGATTGTAAACAAAAGCTCTTAACTGACCCTGACTAATGAGGTTAGGGCAGATCCCTAAGAAAATGAAGCTATGGTTTCTAAATTCAACATCATACATTCAACAACCAGTGACTAATCACTCTCGTAGACACCATAATTATTGGCAATGGGGAACCACAGAGAACAATAGCATCACAGCTGCTCCCAGGAGCTCGTATCCATGTTGGGGACACAGTCCATGGACAAAAAATAAAACGCAGTTGAGTCCTATTTGCAATTCCGTGTTTGTAAACCCACTTGAGAAACTAATAGTTGAGGTATATTCTCTGTCATTTATAGACTCATACAGACAGTGAAGAATGTGAATCACCCTGACCTTATCATTATGCATTGTGTTCTTGCACTAAAAAAAGTTGCACTGGGGGCCAGCAGATGGTGTGGTGGTTAAGGTGATGGACTCCCACATGGCTGACTGTGGTTCAAATCCTGGGCCTGGCAGCTTGCTTTCTCACTTTCCCTTTCTCTCTCTTTGGTCAAAATTTTTAAATAATAATAAGTCAAATAGATAATTCTTTTAAAATCTACACTGTATGTTATAAATATGTCCAACTATTACACATCAATACTACTACTAATAAGAAAAGAATAGTGATCTGGCATGAGTTGAGCTTTGTCCCAGTCCTGTGCTAAGTACTCCTATACATTCCTTCGCTGTATGTTCACAACGAGCCTAAAATGTTTGGTGGTATTAGCCCCCCGCACTCACGGTCAGACCAAGGCTTAATGAAGACAGACAGCTAGTGAGGGCAAAAAGGGATTGAGACCAGCAGATAGCATAATGGTTACATCACTGAACTCCCACATAGTTGACTGTGATTTGAGTTCTGGACCCAGTGGCTTAAAACTCATGCTGGGTGTGTATGCGTGCGTGCCCAAAATAACAAGAGAAGAATGGAGGAGAAGGGATTGTGGTGTGATCATCCCCCGCCCCCAAGGGTGGTTTTTCACTTTCTATCTTTCTGTCTCTCCAGTGAGCACCCACACCCTAAAATAAAAATACCTTTTGAAAGAAAGAAAAAGAAAGAAATGGGCCTGGGGCCTGGAGTCCCCATCGGCATGACTACAAAGTTCTATCCTCAACCATAGCCCCCTCTGTCTCACGGGGTGCTTGG